ACGGGAAGGAGGCGCTCGGGGGCGCCCAGGGAGACTCGGCTGGCAGCTGGAGGGGGGCCCTTGGCCTATCCCTGGAGCGGCTCTCCAGGGGGGAGGGGGAAGAGCGGCAGCAGAGCCCCACCCACACTTTGGGGCCGGTTCTGAAAGTAGCAACAGCTGGAGGGGGAGCGGACTAGAGAGAGGACCGAATCAGGGTTCTATTTCTGAAGATCATCTTTTGGGGGGGGGGAGAGAGAGAGAGAGAGAGAGAGATTCCCTGGATGAATTCCCACCAGCCGAAAAGGGAGCTGGAACCCCCGACGCCCCCGAAGGGACTCACGGAAGCAGCTTTCCGGAAGGGCGACCGCCACCAACACCAGAAGCAACAGAGGCGCAGAGCGCAGAGCCATCCTGTCCGCAAACCTCCACCTGCGCTCCGCTCCCCTTCAGTCGCGGACAAGGAATGAGGCGTTCCAGATGATCAACAACGCAGCAATTCAGAGCGAGCCAGCGATTGGCTAGGCTTAACCAATAGAAAAAAAACATTCCCGTGTCGTCTATGGTTGCTAGGCAGACGTCCAGGCACAACCTGCCCGAGAGGCTGGAAAGGAAAGCGAAAGTTCCTTCCGGAAAACCACCTTCCAGGAATCCCTCGTCTTGGGGGAGGGGCGGAACTGCGGGGCTCGAAAGAGCGGGAGGCTGATCTGGGCCGCAGGGAGGGGAGGGGGCGCAGGCAGGGGGTCACGTCCTTTTGGACCCCGCAGAGCCCTCGCAGGCGGGGAAGAGGCGAAGGTCGGAAACCCCGAGTGAACTTGGTTCTTCTCAAAACGCCCAACGGCTCTCGCGGCCTCTCAAAGGCGAAGACGCGTCTCTCCTCTGGGAAAAGGCCGGGGGTGCAAAGAACCCCAATAATCCCCCATTTCTTCTCATTCTCCGGCGGAGACATGAAGCTTCAGCGCTCCTCAGGTTTCCTGCAATAAACTAAGCTGGCTGCTCCCTCCTTTGGTGGTTCTTCTGGGGAACGTTGGACTCAGATAAGAAATCCCTCTTCCGGTTATGATCGTGGTTGTAATAATTGCCAGTTTTAATTGATAATGAATTGCTGCTGCTGCTGCTTTTACACTTGCTATGATGAGCAAAGTCTGAGTAGATGCAAGGGTCTTTTCAGGGCTTGAACCATCTCCTGCTCACAGAAACACACACATGTACGCACAAGCCAAGTTTGGCAAGGTGTCTGCTGAACATGTTCATGTCCTTAAAGATTACAGTATCATGTTTGTTAAGGTATCTGCCCTGACATTGTTGCTGGTAAGAACCACATCTTTTTTCCTGCAAACCAGCAGAAAGTTGGTTTAGTTAAGTTCCATCTCTGGAACTTGATTGAGCTCTGCAGGGCAGGGGGCCAAATATTCTTTCTGTTCCTCTCACAACAACCCTCTAAGGTAGGCCAGCTGGGTGACAGCAGCTGAAGCCTTCCCATGGACAAAACAACAAGAAAGAGTTTGCCTGGAAGTTCCTCAAAGGCAGCCCCCCAATTCACAACCTGCACAATTTGTGTGTTGGGAACTTCAGAGGGCAGATCCCCCATCCTGTGCCAGAGAGTTTCCCATCAGTCGTGGCTCTGGCTCCATCTCCTTCCCTCTCTTCCGCCACCCCATGAAAAAACCCTGGAGTCAGGCTGGGAAGTCCCAGGGGCGCTGCACAGCTCTCACCTTTTCTCTAGTTACATGCTAGGATCACCTGCCTGAGAAAGAGTGCGAGCGAGCAAGCAAACCTCTCGCATGAATATCATGCAATGACTGAAAGACTATTTCAACACTGCAAAACTCTCAATGTGTTTGCAAGACTGCAGTTCCTGGCTTGATCTGCCAAAAGTGCCCAAACACAACCTCTATTGTGGGAAATTGTAAGTTTAGTTTCCTCAAACCAGGGGAATTGTTGGGCTCTTTTGGACCCACCTAAAGGGCTGCCTTCTTTTTCCTCCCCACCTCCCAGTCAAAGCTTTTGTCATCTGAGTTGGCTTTCTGCAGGGTGAGCTTCCAGACCTGTTGGCACTATGACTCCCAAGATTCCCAGGAGGCCTGGCCTTTGCCTATGCTGACCAGGATTTCCTGGGAATAGCAGTCCCAACCCTCCTGACCAAGTCTGATTTGGATTTAGGCAGGAAAGACACCAAACACCATTTTCGGTATTCACTGCTTGGAGTTTTATTGCACCACAATGATATGCAGGTTTGAGGAAGACTCCAGTGCAGAGAGGGGGGAGTTTGGGACTCTGATAGCAGCAGCTCCTGGCCAACCTCATGGGGTTGGACTTGATTGGGACTTGGATGGGAGGCCACCAGGAGAAGCCAGGCTGGAGGCTGGACCAGGAAGTGGAAGCAACACTCGAAAAAGACTGGGTCAAACCATTTCTCTCCTGTCCCCAAATTACACAGATGTGTCCATGAAGTTACAGAGGTTGACCTCAACCCCAGAGATATTGTACCCTAAGATCCAGAATTAACCAGCCACTACAGTGTACATGTTTAATCAATCATTATTAT